TTTAAAGAATTAAAAAAGAAAAAAAAAAGGAAGGAAATGAAAGATCTCCAGACAATTCTGGGGGCACCTGGGTGACTCAGTTCATGATCTCACGGTTCGAGACCCTGCATCGGGCTCTGTGCTGGCAGCTATCTCAGAGCCTGGAGCCTGTTTCAGATTCTGTATCTCCCTCTCTCTCTCTGACCCTCCCCTGCTCATGCTGTCTCTCACTCAGAAATAAATAAAACCATTAAAATAATTTTTTAAATAAAAGGACAATTCTGTGCAACACTGCTTTGTATGATAGAGCTGCAAATTAATCCAAGGAACTATGAGAATCAGGCAAACAAAAGTCGGTTAGACAATTTTAAAAGTAATAATTCTGGATTGTTGGCTCTGACAATATCCTTTTAAGAATTTTGCTGAGAAAGCTAAACACATTTCCAGCTTTGGCAGTAATTTCAGACATTACAGGACAAATGAAAACATTTATTTCTGAAGAAAATTACAGTGACAGATTGCTATGCTATGGTTAAATATTTGTCAGTATTTCCATTTTACCCTCTAATTTTCATAGCTTCTTAGCTCAGATAGTTTAAAAAAAAAAGGGGACCTCAACCTGGCAAACCATTAACAGATGTTTGTCAATTACTAAAAACCTGATGCATTGTATCACTGAGTGATCATAAATCATTACCATTACTTAAAAGTTATATATATCCTAAGAATGCACAAGTAACATTTTTATAAATACATATTATAATTCTGATTACTTTAAATGAACAAAACCACTTTAATAATTTTCCTACATAAGAAATAAATACTGTCAGAGAACTAAAACCTAACAGTTGTGTCCTAAGGGGAAAAAGTACTAAAAAATAAAGTCTACTCAACATTTATTGCAAATTACACCATTCAGGAACCTCGATTTCTCAAAGCTTGTTATTATGAAGAAAAAAAAAATCTTGAGACCAAAATATAACATTAACATCCTTCCAACAATAGGGCTAAGGTGATTTTTATTTCCTTTTCTGTTTGCCAAGTGTTGTAGAATACCCATTATTGGGAATTAAAAAAAAAAGAAATTCCTGTAAAAAGTGTAATATGCCTAAGCTATCTGGATGACTTAATGAAATATATAGAACATAACTACTTAGGTGGCCAAACAGATAAACAAACTCAGTTGGGAGTTTATTTCAAAGTACACAAATAATAGGGGCGCCTGGGTGGCTTAGTTGGTTAAGCGTACGACTTTCGCTTAGGTCATGATCTCGGGGTTTGTGGGTTCGAGCCCCGCGTCGGACTCTGTGCTGACTGCCAGCTCAGAGCCTGAAGCCGGTTTCAGAGTCTGTGGCTCCCTCTCTCTCTGACCCTCCCCTGCTCACGCTGTCTCTCTCTCTCTCCTAGAAATAAATAAAACATTAAAAAAAAAAATTCAAAGTACACAAATAATACATTTTTCTCACAAACCACCAGTCCCATGTGAAAATCATCATGGACTGAGATAACAGTATCACTGACAGGCTTTGTACTATAATGGAATATACTTTTTCCATATTTTAGAATCCAATATGCTTTAGTAGGGATTATAACTAAGTTAATACTTTTGGTCCATATTTATTTCATCTGACTTAGAGCCTTCCTCTTTTTTTAATGTTTTGCTGTTTTTACATTTACCCACTTTCAACATTTATTGCAGCTCTCAAAGGGGTAAAGAAAAAAATTTTAACTAAACAATTAACCACTCGTGCATCAGAAATCAAGATATGAACAACTAGGGAGAAAAAAATCTCCCTAATCTTATAGAGGTTCATCTCTATTACAGAAGAGGGCCATTAGGAGAATGGTACAAATTCCCTCTCAACTATCACTATATAGAAGAATAAAAAGGAAACCTTGAGTTCCTACAGCTCTCAATAAGAATATTTGAGACTGATCCCCAAATTCTGCTGCATAGTAAATACAAGACTCAAATGTCTGAATTGAGGACCTTGCATAGAATGACATATGCCCACTTAATAACAATTCTACTGCTTAAAAACATAACCATTTATTTCCGTATGTGAGTTATATTTTAGCAAGTCATTGGAAAGCAGGGCCTATATGTGGACATGGAGGAAACAAATTCAGTACATGGAAAACCAGATGTAAAATGCTACCCACAAAAGCTGTGGAAAGACAACTCTCCCACAACTTTGTGATTTCTAAAGTATAAGTAAGTACCACATGATAGGGTGATCACCATCACAAATTCCATACCCTACACTCCAGCACCACACACTAAATTAACATATAAACAAAATGTGGAATCCTTTATTTTGCTTAAAATCACTGAAATCACTCACATTGCTAAGCCACTCTATTAGAAGCATGAAGTAAAAATGGAGCTTTCTCCCCTAGAATAAAAAGATTGTTGTATTTCTATGATATCTGTTTGAAGCCTAACTGATCTTTTTCTTAGATTTATTATCAGAGCTAATGAGTATATTCCAAGTATATTCCAAGAATTTTTAAATTCTCTTAAAATCAAAATAATACCAAAGTATCCTCAAAAATAAGCAAAGGAGCTGAACACAAAGATGACTCCTAAGGCCAAATATACGTTATTTCCTGCCATGTTCAATTACACAAATTTTCCCCTCCATGAAAGATTTTTATGTCCTTGAAATGTTAACAGAACTGGGAAATTAATATGCCAACACAATATCTCAGCAAGTAATGTGGACTAAATGTGACTCAAGCTTAAGGATGTTTTACACAGTGAAACAGCTTTAAAAAAATCCTTTCCAAAAGCAGCAAAAAAAAAAAAAGACTCAACAATGCTAACCAAAGCAGGACCACAGTGATTTCATTAGAGGACTTTCCCAGGCCTGGAAGCAGCAAATCACTACTTACACAGTAACGTCCTGTACAAGTATAACCTTGCACTGCTCACCATTCATATTTGTGGGTTAGGAAACACTGGGAGTCTCACTCTACACCTTCCTGAAAACACTGCACTTTTTGTTTGATGAAGAAATCACACAAACCATTTGGAACAATATGGAAAATACAAGTTTTTAAAGTAATAGCTTATCTGCTGAAGAATTAAGGAAAAGAAATGGAAAATGGGATCTTACCAAAAAAGGATATTCACATCTCCTAGCTAAACTCCCTTTTTAAAAAAGCAAATCAAAAATAAAAAATAGGAAAGCCATATGACCAATTTAAAATTCAGTACAAAAGATAATTTAAGGCTGAAAGTTTCTACATCCTTCTCCCTCTTCGAAAGGAAAAAAACATTAATCTCCTTTCTTTGTCCAATCCAACAGGAAAAAAAAAATTCTGCCATCCACTAAAACCAATCTCAAGAAAAATCTTCTGGCAGTCCATACATTAGGATGGTAAGCCCTGAAAATGTTAAAGGACAAAACTAGAGCTTAAAATCCTAAGTAAACTCAGCCACAAACTAAGATCCTCAGGATAAGAACGTACCTCTTACATAAGCATTGGCACATGTTTTAAATACAGCTGGTCCTCCCCACTGCCACGCTATGGCTAGCTAACTTTGTACCTGATTTCCACATAAACTACTAGCAATTCTGTGGCTTCTCCTTATCTCCTAAGTGGCAAAGATATGGAATCCGTCTGAATAACAGGACCACCTTTCAACTCTTAAGGACCCAGACAGAGGGAATAAAAACTGCTCTCTGCCATTGGGCGTTCAGCCTGGGTCACGACTGCAGCACCGACAGCTCATCCTTTGGGCAGGATTCAAGATTCAGTAGAACGGCACAGTCCGCATTTAAAAAAATAAAAAGACACACAATTCTCTCCTTTCTTTTCAAACTAGTTTCCTGTTTACTGCAGAGGGCGATGCAAAGCCATCCATTAATCTTTGATGCCTTCTCGCTGTAAAGCCCCCTTCCTCACTCCTCGCACCTCCTCCCCCACCCTCCACGCCTGCTGATCTCAGCCGCGTTTGAACTATAGTAACCCCCAACCCAGCTCGCTGCAAAGCAGGCAGCGCAACAGCAGGGCCGCTGCCGCCGCGGGGCTAGGGGATTACGTTCGCAAAAACTCTGCCAGTAAAGAGGCCCGTGCCAGGGAGCTCCCCTCTCGTCTGGCCAAGGGTGCTGGCTCCGCCACGCCACGCACCAAAAAGCTTCCAAAAAAGATGCAGGCGAAGTTCATCATCCACGAGCAGAAAGGGGAGACTCATTCCTACAGGGAGAGCAAGGGTCTTGAGTGGGAAAAGAAAAACACGAGTGGGGTGGAGAAGGTATGGCAGCCGAGAGTGGAAGCGATGGGGACAAAAAGGAAGGGATCGGGAGCGCTCTCACAGTAAAAAAGGACCGACAGGATGCAAAGCAAATGGGCCCCCATTCGAAGAACGGCTTGGCAGGCCTTTCCGCACCTCCAAACAATATCAAACCCCTTGAAAGGAGGAAGGAGGCGGCTGAGTTTGGGGCTGCGTAGCCCAAAGGATAAGTCAAAAGGAAAGAGGGAGGGAAGCCTGGAAGCCAAGTGGACAAAGACGCAAAAGAGGGAAAGTTGAAAGTGGGAACCAGAGAAAAGCGGCTGAAAATGAGCACCTAGGAAGGGGCAGCTCAGGAAGCAGCTTAGAAAAGACCTCTCTAAAGGGGGTTCTGGGGATGAAGGGGCGGGCAGAGCTCAGAGAGAGGGCAGCTTAGGAATGCCAGGGGAGGGAAGGGTCGTCTCCGGGAGGGTGGGCAATTAAGGAGGCGGAGCTCAAGGCCCGGGAGCTGGGGGAGGGGGCTCTCTGCGGGAAGGGGCCTGGGAGGGAGGGCAGAGAGTCGGAGAGCCGGTGGGGGGCCAGGAGGTCTGCAAGAGGGGCAGCTGGTTAGGACGGAGGAGCGGGTGAACAGAGGATGGGGCCGCCGCCGAGACGGGGAAGAAGGTGGGGAAGGGGAAGAACCGGGAAGGGGCGAGGTGGGGAGCGGGGGGAGGAAGGAGCAGGCAAAAGGGTGGGGGAGGGGAGAAAGGAGGATGAGGGAAGAGAAGGGGGCGGGGGAGCCGGGATGAGAAGAGGCCAGCCAGGGCGGACGGTTCGGTCACCTCGGGCAGTGGCCTCTCTCCCCGCAGGGCGGCGCCGCCGGCGGGCAGGCGGGCTCCGCAACTCCCCGGCTCTCTCGCCCGCCCTCCCGTTCTTCTCAGGCGGCGGCGGCGGGGGCCGGGACGGCGCGGCTCACAGCGGCGGCTCCTCCGCGCCGGGCCTTAGTTGCAGCGTCTTGGGAGGCGGCGGCAGCGGCGGCGGCAGCGGCCCGACCCGTGCGGTCACCATCGTCCGCGGCGGCAGGCGCTCGCGGGCCGAGCCCCTCAGCAGCCGACGGCGGCCATGGCCTACTGCGCTCGCTCCTCCCGCCCCCGGCGCTCTGCGGCGGCCGAGGTCCGCTCTCGTTCTCTGCGCCTGCGCGCGCCGCGCCCCTCCCCCGCCCGCGCCCGCGCGCGCGCGCTCCCGAGCTCACTCACAATCGCAGGGGCCCGGTGGTTCCCGCGCCGCCCCCAGTACGTTGGCGGGAGACCGCCTTCCAGGGGCCCACGCAGCAGGGTCCAAGCGGCTACGGAGGCGCCTACCGCCCCGACCACCACACGCACACTGTGACACGCGCCTTTCTGACACACGTGTGCTCTCACACGCCTCAAATACCAGGAGCGGCGGGCGCTCACACCCACACTCACCTGCTGCGACCACGTGGGAGAATTGGAGGGGCTGATCCTCACCGGGTGCAACCGCAGTAGCAATGATGCCAGAATTTTTTTTTTACCTCTCTCACTGACTGGACTAGACTGTCAACTTCACGGCGTCAGGGACCAAGTCTGTGATGGCTCAGCCGTGTCTGACATAGAATAGGCGCTCCATAAGCCTCTGTTGAATAAGTGAATGCTTGAATAAGTGACCTGAAAATGCTATCTTTAATTTTAAATTTCTGCCCCTAGGTTTAAAGAATTTGCTCAAAGAATTTTATTGTAATACGAAATTGAATAGTATTTGTGTGTTGCTTTTGGTCGAAGGTTCAAAATAGAGGTAAGTGGACCCACCCCCTTCCCAAGGTCGAGGAAACTCATTTGTTCTGCCCCACTGACCAGCATGCCTACCTTAATTTAAATAGCAACATACATTTTAGGGCTGCAACTGTTCCCCACTTACCCGGGATACAAAGCCTGAGGCACGTCTCGGTTCTCAGGACAAATCAAGGATGCTGCTAAGTTCCTTGCTTTGGCGAGACACCTTATTCCCAGGTTTTCTAGGGCCTCAGCGACTCTCCACAAACCCCTCACCCCCTATCTGACACCCCTTCTTCCCAAAACAAAAAACCTACGCTATTCCTTGTTGTGTCTTTGTAGCTGGAGAGCCGGTGGCTGCTAGAGACCAGTCTGGCCTTTGATGTTGATAGTGCCTGTATACACAAAGACACACTCCCAGGAGTTGGTAAAATGTTGCAAGTATCCTGGATCATCCTGAAATTGTGAAAACTCAAAACTTCTGCACAGTTACAAGAGATATTAATGTACTTGAGTGTTGATCTCTGTGTTGGCCACCCTCATTGGAAATTCAAGTCTCTGGCCTTCTGCTTTAAATGATAAACCTCCAATTCCTCACAATCTTTATATCTTGCTAAAATTGTAAACGCAAGCTTTCCTGAAGGCATCTGTTAATCAAACTCAGGGTTAATCAAACTCTTCCACTAGTTTGATAGGTCTATAGAAATGAAGAGGTTTTTTTTTTTTATATTAAATGTTTTATTTATTTCTGAGAGAGAGAGATAGACAGCGTGAGCAGGGGAGGGTCAAAGAGAGGGAGACACAGAATCTGAAGCAGGCTCCAGGCTCTGAGCTGTCAGCACATAACCCAATGCCGGGCTCAACCTATGAACCATCAGATCATGACCTGAGCTGAAGTCAGACGCTTAACCGACTGAGCCACCAAGGCACCCCTAGAAATGAAGTTTTAAAAATTTCTGGGAAGTATGTTCATAACTCTCTACCCACCTTTCATCCTGGTACCTTAGGCTACTTTAGAATAATCAAGCAGCTACATCCTAGAGAGGCTGTTTTATGAGTCTCTTTATACAGCCTGTTAACTAAAAAATTAAAGAGGCCACATGACTAATGACTAGAATAGAAAACTGCCCAAGATAGCAAAGCCTTAAACCTTGGTTTTCACCACTGCATTTTAATAAGTTTACTACTGACTTCAGGCAAGAAAACATAAGACCAGATTACAAAGAAGTCAAAATCTATATAGCCTTAAATTCTAATTGGATTTATTTATTTGTTTAGGGTAAATTGCCAAATATTGAAAATATTCCTTTAATATTGTTACTGGATTTGTGTGTTTTGTTTAAATGGAGGAAAAGCTTACCTCAGCTCTCACATTTCCTTTTTTAAAGGAAAAATAATGGCTTCAAAGTTCTATAACCCTCACTAATAAGTACTCTGGACTTGTAAAAGCAGGACGAAGTCACATGTCTTTTTCACCTTTGAGTTTTACAGCAGCTGCCTGTAAATCCTAAGTTCAAAACAAGTAAAGAAAATTACTCTGGTAATGAAAGGGTTACTGCTATTATATTGCTGCAAATCCAGTTTTGGGAAAGCTCCACATTGCCAGATGCAGGTAACTGAATCAAGCTAAAAAGAAAAAAAAGAAAAAGACAGGGAAAAGACTGGGGGTGAGGCAGTAGAGAAGACTGCTCAAATAAAAGCAGTCACTTAGGAAGTACTTTCTAGAAACACCCAAAAAAAGCAAAGGTTAGGAGCAAAACTTACTGTAAGTACCAGAAACCAAGCTTAAGCAAGTGCCCAAATGCCACAAAACCTGGCCATAAAAAGAATTAGCTTCATGGCTAGAAGGAAAGAACTGGAATGTTTATGACTGTGGAATGGCAGACCATTCAGGATTCCAAAGGTTAACTTCCTGTTCACTAAATGTATGCAACACTGAGGAGGAAGTCAGCGTTAAGTTTGGAAGAGTGAATGTTTGTTACAGCTCTAGCCATTCCAAAAGACAAGTCCCTAAATGCCTTACAAAACCAACTATTGCTAATAATCCCATAGAAAGTGCCCTCTGTTGCAAATCTGTGAATAGTTGATGGCCAGTTCACTATGCCTTCTAGATCCAGAGATAAGATCTCATGTAACAGACTTCACATAATGGGGCCCAAATGCAAAAAACTCAGATAGCCAATTCTGGATATATGGCAGACAGGTGAATTTTCATGTTTGCATTTATTCACTTTATTCCTATGGGCACTTTGAGGTTTTCTACATATAATTCCAGAATAGTTAACTTCCTTGAATAGAAGAGTCTAAATGATATATAAAATCTCATTCAACCTGACTACCCTTATGATTTTGAAAGCCAATTCTAAGAGGAAAACTATAGTTTTCTTAGGCGACATGGTTCAGTAAAGGGGAAATAAACTCTTTTTGAGATATAATTGAGATCTAATTTACATGATACAATATACTTTTAAAGTGTGCAATTCAATGGTATTTAGTAGATTCACAGAGTTGTGCGACCATCACAATCAATTTTAGAACATTTTCATCACCACCTCCCTTCCAAAAACAACAAAAACCAAAAAACATTTTATCCCTTAACAGTCACTCTCTTTGCCCCCGCCTTAAGGGACTACTAATCCTTCTCTCTTACAGATTTACCTATTCTAGACATTTCATATAGGTTATGTCATGCAAGATGTGGTCTTTTGTGTCTGCCTTATTTCCCTTAGCAACATGTTTTCAAAGTCCAACCATGTTGTAGCATGTACAGTTCTTTCACTTCTTTTTATTGCCAAGTAACATTCCATTGTATGGCTATATCACATTTTGTCTGTCCATTCACCAGTTGATAGACATATGGGTGGTTTCCACTTTTTTGGCTCTTATGAATAGTACTGCTATAAACATTTGCATACAAGCATTTGTGTGGACACATGTTTTCATTTGTCTTCAGTATATAGTAGGAGTAGAATTGAATCACCTGGTCACATCACATGGTAACTCTGTGTTTAGCTTTCTGAGCAACTGCCACTGTTTTCTAAAGTGGCTGCTCGATTTTACATTCCCACCATCAGTGTACGAGGACAGATTTACTATTAGATTCAGATACCCCCTGCTTGTTAGATATGGGACCCTGTGCCAAGAGTTCACATAATTGACAGACACCTCTATTTGTCACCTGTAAAACAAGGAATAATGACAGTATCAATTTCACAGAATTATAATAAAAAATAAGTAAAACTGTGTATGCTAATATTCCTGGTACAAAGTAAGCCCTCAGTGTATGTTATTAGTAGTTCCCTCTGTCTTTGGTATCTCGTTGGCAACATTTATTCTGTAATAAAGTCAGACAGAGATAAAATTATAACTACCTATTAACAATAAGAAATGCATACACATGGTTGAGGCTGAATAAATATTTTTTCATGGATAATTGGAAAAAAAATAGAACTTAACACTGTTTTAATAAGAAAATAAATGTATCTTTTTCTATCTCCTGTAGACCTAATGCCTGAGGCTACAGGAGGAAAAAATATAGAAACAAGTCCTATTTTGTTTTGTTTGGATTTTTCAGATTTTCCCCCAAAACATTTTATTTTCCTCAATTTTTTTTATTTTGAAAAGTTTCAAATATACAGAATTATTTTTAAAAATTGCAATCATCAATTACTCATCTAGATTCAGCAATTGTTAACGTTTTGAGTATTTGCTTCATATGTATGGATTGTTTGTTAAGCTATTTGAGAGTAAACTGCAGACATCAACACATTTTACTCCTTAATACTGCAGGCTGCCTCTTCTAAAAATAACAGCTTTCATATTACCAAAATGACCTTGCCACACCTAAGAAAATAAATGGTAATTTCCTAATCTTTACCTATCCGACTGATGCTCAAATTTTCACATTTCTCCCTGAATTATCTTTTACAGGTAACGTTTTTCCTAACCAAATTCAATCAAGTTTCACTCATTGCCTTAGTTTTATGTCATCCAAACTAGCTTTGCTTTTAACCCATCTGAGTACTTGTGACTATTTTGAATCTCCAAAATCAGCAGGAGGGGAAAATGTATTGTTGCTATTGTTTTCAGATTTAAGCTCTGCTGATGTACCTCTATCTTACCCAGCCGCTTTCTCTATGTTGATTCTGATTAAGACAGAGACGGGTATAATGCAAAATTGTGTGTTGCTTTTCAATTATGATGATATTTAGCTAAATAGAATGGATACTGATTGTCATAGACATTTGTTAGTTGCCTCCTTTTATTATCTATTATTCTCCTTTTTCTCTTTTTAATATCATCTTGAGCATTCTAGCCATGCAGTCTACTGTGGATTAATCAGTTTATCCTATCTCCCTTAGTGATTAGTCCAGGGAAGGACCCATGACCCACGTCATTCAGGGCAAGACCCAACACCAGAGCTTTTGACTAAACTATTGAAAGAACAAAGTTTCTCTTTCCTGCTAGATCTAAAAAAGGAATCCCATAATTTCAAGGACTATAGGCAGTCATCTCAGATCCAAAAGTGTCTCAAAGCAGGTAAAAGAACCTGAGACACAAAAAGAAACAGGACCTTGTCACGGTGTATGAGTCCTGTTCTAAGCCTCATGTGAAGCCAGCATGTCCACTTCCTATTCTTTAACTATATCATCCAATAAATTACTTTTGCTTAGCTACTTTGCAATGTGTTTTGGTTTTTGCAGTTAAAAGA